ATATTTACATTTATATTTATACTTATATTAATATTTATATAATTAAATTTATATATTTATATTTATATGGGTTGCCTCACATAAAGCGCTTGGTTTAACATCGTCAGCCCAACATACCATTTGATTAGTTGGGTTGACTTAACTTTAAAACTTCTTTAAATTGTGGAATTTGCCCTTCATAATAATGTTTTAATCAATTCTCATTAACTTTAAATATCATTCTAGTGTTAGGATCTTTTACAACAATAGTTCCATAATGATAGACTTTAATCACTTTAAACGGTCCTAACCATCTGGATTTTTAGTTTTTTCTGAAAATAATCTCAATCTTGTATTATATAATAAAACTTATTTTCCAGATTCAAACTTCTTTTGAATAATCTTTCGATCATGTCATATTTTCATTTTCTCTTTATAGATTTTTACATTATCATATGCTTCATTTCTAATGTCCTCAAGTTCATTGAGTTGCAATTATTTTTTCTCACCAGCATCCTTTAAATTAAAAATAAATTCCTTAATAGCCTAAAATGCTTTATGTTCTAATTCTACTGGTAAGTGGCATTGACATGTTTTTCAAAAAATAAGTCTATATGGGGACATTCTTATAGGAGTCTTATAAGTAGTTATGTATGCCCATAATGCAGTATCTAAACTGGCAGACCAATACAATTTATAGGGATTTACAGCTTTTTCTAAAATTTATTTAATTTCACGATTTTATACTTCTGCTATGTCGCTAGTCCGAGGATGATAAGCAGTAGAGAATCTATGCATAATATCATATTTCTTAATCAATTTTTCGATTCTCTTATTCCTAAAATGAGATCCTCCATCTGTAATAATTATTTTTGGCATTCCATATCTTGTAAAAATATTTTTAATTAAAAATTTAGAAACACTCCGAGCATCACATCTAGGTACAGCAGCAGTAACTTCAATCCATTTAGATATATAATCAACAGTAAGTAATATATATAAATTCCCAAATAAAGGCATAAATGGTCCCATAAAATCTAATCCCCACACATCAAAAATTTCAACTTCTAATGTGTAATTTAAAGGCATTTCATTTCTTCTAGAAATATATCTTACTCGTTGACATCTATTGCACATTTTAATATATTCATTAACATCTTTAAAAATAGTAGGCCAATAAAATCCAGCTTACAAATTCTTATATGCAGTTCAATTAATTGTCCTCTAAATTCAAAATTAGGGCATCTTTCAATTATTGTTGAGTTTCCTCATAAGGCACACACTTTCTAATAATTAGATCTTTACATTGTTTATATAGATATGGGTCATCCCAAAAATAGAATTTTGAATCGTATATAAATTTATTTAATTGTGGATTTTCATATCATGTAGTAAAATATCACTTACAATATAATTTACTATATCAGCATACCACTGTACATTCATTTCATCAGTACTATATAATTGTTCATCAGGGAAATTCTCTAAAATTTCATTTGCAAAATTAGTTAATATTTCTTTTTCTAGTCCAGACAAATGATCAGCTATTTGATTATCATTTTCCTTTATATCAACTACGGTAAATCAAACTCTTGCAATATAAGTATTCATCTAATTAATCTTGGTTTAGCATCCTTTTGTTGCCTCAAGTATTTAATAGCAGAATGATCTATATGTACAATACATTTAGTTCTAATTAAGCAAGGTCTAAATTTATCAAAGGCATAAACAATAGCAAGTAACTCTCTTTCAATAGTAGTGTAGTTAATTTGAGCATCATTTAGAGTATTACTAGCATAATATATTACTTTAAAAACTTTGTTATGTCTTTATCCTAACACAGCCCTAATAGCATAATCACTAACATCGTACATTATTTCAAATGGTTTCTTCCAATCAGATGAAACTATTATAGATGCAGTGATTAATTTTTCTTTCAATAATTCAAATGCTTTTATACATTCCTCATTAAAATCAAATTTCATATTTTTTTTCTAAAAGTTGGCATAATGGCTTGGTTATTTTAGAAAAATTTTTTATGTAATGTCTATAGAAACCAGCATGTTCTAAAAAGCTTCTTACCCCTTTAACATTAATCGGAGGTGGGAATTTTTCAATAATTAAATTTTTGTAGGATCTACTTCCATGTCATTTTCAGAAATTTTATGCCCAATTACAATTCCTCCTGCAACCATAAATTGACATTTTTCCCAATTTAGTACTAGGTTAATTTTTTCACATACTTCTAGAACATTTTTTAAATTATTTAAATGTAATTCAAACGAAGTTCCAAATACTAAAAAATTATCCATAAACATTTCCATTCCATGTTCAATAAAATTGCTAAAGATTGACATCATACATCTTTGAAATGTTGCAAGTGCATTGCATAGTCTAAATAGCATTCTACGAAAAGCAAATGTTCCATATGAACTTGTAATTGTTGTCCTCTCTTGATCCTCTAGAGCAAGTAGAATTTTGTGATAACCGGTATATCCATCTAAAAAGCAATAATATTGGTTCCTAGCCAATATATCCCACATTTGGTCTATAAAAGGTAAAGAAAAGTGATCTTTTCTGGTGGACATGTTTAATTTTCTATAATCAATACAAATTTGCAAAACAGTATCTTATCTTATTGGTATTAATTCATTTTTCTCATTTTCTTCAACGGTCACTCCTCCTTTCTTCGGAACATAGTGAATTGGACTTACTCAAGCACTGTCTGAAATAAGATATATAATTCCAGCATCTAACCATTTTAAAATTTCTAATTCCTTAATATCTGCTAAAGTCCATCCAAAAGTCTTTTTATATTTTTTTAACATCTCTATTAATTTTTGTTCTTGAATTTATGTTAATTCAGAAGATACAATAACAGGAAACGTAGATGACTCTCCTAAAAACACATATTTTTAATGGGCAGGTAATATTTTCAGTTCAAGTTCAAGTGGTTTAATACTTGAAGGAATAAGATTTTTATTATCGTTTTCCAAC